TTCTCTCCTCTCTCTCTCTCTCTCTCTCTCTCTCTCTCTCTCTCTCTCTCTCTCTGCTGGAAACATATTTGTCTTTCCTTTGAATGGCATTTTAGCATACTCTTCACATATTTTAAGTGGTTGGAAATGCTGGTTGTGTCTCAAAACACTCATCTATGTTCAAAATGCAGTTCTGAGTTACATTTTCTAAGGAAATTATGCTGAGGTAAGGATGGCAAATGAGTAAATTTTTTTTTTTGGTTAACTGTGGAACATTAACAAGAAAAGCTCCCAAGAAAGGTACACTTAAGAACTAAGCAGGATTTTTGACATGCTGTGCAAAGCAAATCCAGACATTAAGAGAATGATGGGCTTAAGTATACATAATTACAGGCTGTAATAGCACAGGAGAAAGGTTAATACCACACCTTTCACAGAGTGTTCCTTTAAAAAATAAAAATGCATTGCACCGATTAGCATCACCTTCAGTCAGCTCAACCATCTCCTCATTAAGACAGATGAAGAGCAAGCACATAGATGAATATGTGTGCTCTTACAAACTCCATCTCAGTGATTTTCATAGTTTCCGAGAACATGGGAATGTGAGCTTGAAAACATGGCCATATTCAATAAATAAGAATAATTATTTCAGTCATCTCTAATAGGTGATCACTGCAGGCCTGAAGCCTGGCAGCTGGTTAACAGCTCACAGGCATACTATAAAATGAAGAGATGGTGCAGCTTCTAATTGAAACTGTAGAGAGAATTTATGATAGTTGACTACTATTGTGGAAGCTCATTTTTTATGTTCCTTAAGTTTACAGTCTGTAAGTGGAGAGTTTGTTTAAACACTGTTCAAATCATAGATAAATCTTCATGTTCTAAGTCTAGTACCCTAAAAACCCACTCAGAATTCAGCAATATGCTACCTGAGGGGAGGAGAGCCATTATACCATGGTGATATTTTAGAAGATCATTGTACCATTATCATTCAGAGCCATTTTGCCTGGAAATAAATTCCTGACTCTCATTCTTCCTCCATTGCTGAAAAACTCTATGTAATCTAGAACACACAGCTTGGAGATGGGAGCATTGCTCAGCATTTGTTTGCATTCATTTTCTTTCACTATGGGCTACAGTGAACAAAGATTTGAATCTGCTCCACACACTCAATGTCTTTAGAGCCTCCCACAAATTATTATGGTTTTGTTAATCTTAGAGTGACAATGTATATGAGCATGGATGCAAAAGGGCCACAGCCAATGCACAGAGATTAGAACTATAGCATGAGATTACAACTACAGGAATTGGTGCTTTTGACCTTCTCTGAGGATGGGTTTTTAGTTTCCTACTGGCATGAGTGGCATGAAGATGACAGTCAAGTGCTACAAAGTCTGGCTTTTTGCCAGCTCTAGGGGTTCCATCCTAGGTCCTTATGCTATCACAGCAAGACATTTATGACTTCTATTTCACCAAACAGCAGCCTTATTATTTATCATATAGATATAAGATAATCTAAAAGTACATACTACTGCTGGGCATGTTATGGTCATTGTGGGTGAAGGACTATGGTCCTTTATTATGCTAAAATCCAAATGCATTGATCTTTCTCTACACAGCGCCCTTCCAAAGAGACCCTAAATATGTATTCTGCGCCTGTGCAAGGGTCTTGGTATTTCAAGAGCCACAACCATCGGAAAAAAAAAAAAGTGATTTGCAGATTTTAGAGTTAGGAGACTACAGCGTTTAGGAAAGACCTCAGTGTATGATAAGTATATGGCAAGCTCTAGGTAACTACAGTATATGTGTCATTGCTATTATTGCTATTTCTATTATTATGTGTGAGCAAGGCAGAATGTGTGCATACACGCACCATCCTGAATGTATGGAAGACAGGAGATAGAATTGTGGAGCCTGTTCTCTTCTCCCACTATAGGTTCCAAGAATAGAACTCAAGTCTTCAGGTTTGAGCAGTGAGTGTCTTTGCCCATGGATTCTTCTTGTTATCTCTTCAGTGAATGCTATTATGCAATGCTTGTATCTGGTTACCTCATGAGAAAGTACTGAAAGCTTTAGGGCAAGGCTAGCTCATATCCATATCTACAAGATCTGAACCAGGTTGTGTCACTTTCTATATTGTGTTAAAGGAAACATGGTGGGAGAGTTGAATGTGTTTGGGGTTGGGTGCATGGAGACAAGTACCTTTTACATGCTAAGTAAGCATTCCACTAAGCTTTAACAAGCCTGCATTCTTCTCTTGTTTATACTTTCCAGTAACTCTGAAAGTGAGCTTGTTGTCTATGTTCTACTAAAGAACTTCAGGAACTGTTTCTTAAGAGCTTGATCAGACAGTCAGCCAGAGGGAATAAGTCCCCTTTAGATTTAGCTTCTTTAAGATAGATCACTGGCTACAGAATTAGACATCTATTTTACTAAAAAAATACCTTTAAAATACTCAGCATGGGTAAGTTTGTAAAAATGGTAAATTGTCATATAAGCTTTGTCCACCCGAGTTTGTTTTTGTTTGTGTTCCTAGAAGTGTTGCAACTGTTGCAAACATTAGAAAAAGCAATTAACTTAGAAATTGCAATGGCTCCTCCCTATCTCTTGGAGGCAATAGCTCCTTTCCACTTTGTTCTGTCACCCTCTATGGGTGTGGAAAATCTCTTAAGATATAGGAAAGGGGAGATGAGGATCACAAAATAAAGTGGCAGTGGAGGGCCAAGATGTCCATAGTGACTGGTGGTTTCTCCCAATTGAGTTTCTTCTCCTATGGGTACTTGCTGACTCTTAGCTCCTTTTCTTAAAGTTTTCAGTTGAGTTTCTCCTTTCTAGTGTGAGCCCAAGAGCTTAGCATGGCTACAAGAATTACTTTTGGTGAGTTATGTAACCCATGTGTACTACCTAAGGCCTGAGGGTCCTTCTGCCCTCAGCACTGTCCTAGATAGCTTACATTTGTACAGTTGTATGAGATTTTGATTTCTTACTATTTGGTGCCTGACTATGCCTGCATGTGTGCATGCACGGCTATGGGGGAAAGTTGTATAATTGCTAAAGCACATGGTAGAATAATTTTCCTGCCTTTTTGTTTGATGTCTCAAAGGCTGGAGAACTTACCACCAAAGTAGTAACTTTTTCCAGAATAAATTTGTATTCGGGAGGTATCTGGAGCTGGAGAAGCAGCATCATTATCCAGTGTGAGAGTAACACGATTTCTTCTGGCATTGATGCTGACAGAATGCCACAGGCCATCATTTAAGCCACTGCCTGTAAGAGAAACAGGAAGGGCTATTTCATGAAGGTCATCTTTCTTCTCTGCCTAATAGCTTAGTATCTTTTCGTAAACCATTTCTGATAGTATCATCTTCTAAATGAAGGGAACAAATCAAATATGTGGAACATCTGTGACAAATAAAGAAATGCTATTTATTAATTAGTATGTTGATGGGTGACTACTAAGGAAAAAAATCTTTAAAAAAAAAAATCTGTTAAAACCTCTCACTATTATACCAGAAATTGTAGCCTGAGACAGTGTAGGCATAGGTCATTTTTTCCCTCAGATTTTTCTGAAGTTTATCTATTTTTATTTATTTTTTTCTATTTTTATTGGAAATTTTATTTACATTTCAGATGTTATCCCCTTACCCTATTTCCCCCCCTACCCAGGAACCCCCTCTCCCATTTCCCCACCTCCTGTGTCTAGGAGGATGTGCTCCCACCCACCCACTCCCACCTTCCAACCCTCAAATTCCCCGTACTAGGCATCCAGCCTTCAAGGGACCAAGGATCTCCTCTCCCACCTATGCCCAATAAGGCCATCCTCCCCTACATATACAGCTGGAGCTATGGGTCCCTCCTTATGTGCTTCTAGGCTGGTGGTTTAGACCCTGAGAACTCTGTTTGGTTGGTATTGTTGCTCTCCACATGTGGTCACAATCCCTTTCAGTTCCTTCAGTTTTTCCTTAATTCCTCCAGTAAATTTTTTGGCAAATATTTGTTTAAACCAATGACTCCAAGAATCAAAACCAATACTTCACATATCCTATGTAGCTATCTACCACTGGGCATCAGTAGCTCTGGGAAATTTTTTATTTAATTATACAAGGTTACTTTCTTAGTTTCTTTCCCTGTTGCTGTGATAAAATATTCTAACAAAATTAACTCAAAGGATAAAGGCTTTATTTCCTCTCACAGTTCAATGATACAGTAGTGACATTGTGTCAGGGAAATCAGGGTAGCAGGACCTTGAAGCAAATGGTTATGTTACATCCACAATTAGGAAACAGAGAAGGATGCTGCTGCTCAGCTTGGTTTCCCTACTGTATTCCACCCAGAATCAGATCTTTAGTTTAGGGAGTGGCCATGCTTACAGTTACAAGGATGGATCTGCCCACATCAACTCCCATACTCAAGGAAGTCCTTCACAGATATTCTCTGTCTAACTTTAATTTCTGTAATCCCTCTTGGTGTTCTTGGAGGCTTGCTCATGGGGAAATATAGAGCCCATCAAGGTGACAATTAGCATTAATCATCACACCTACTGAAAGACAGGTAAGAATATAAAATACTTTGACCATATCCACCTCCATATCCTACTAGCCCTCTTGTGCCTCACATTACTTAATTGTTCAGAGAAGATTGCTTCTACTTTCTTTTTTATTTATTTATTTTTTAATTGAATGTTTATTTGCATTTCATATGTCATCCCCTTACCCCATCACCCCCCACCCAGGAACCCCCTATCCCCTCACCCCTCCTTCTGCTTCTCTGCTGATGTATCCCCAACTTCCCCCCACACTCCCACCTCCCCACCCTCAAATTCCCACTCACTGGGGCATCCAGCCTTCATGAGACCAAGGATCTCTTCTCTTATCTATACCTGACAGGGCCCTCCACCCTTATCAATACAGCTGGAGCCATGGATACCTCTCTAAGTGCTCCCAGGCTGGTGATTTAGACCCTGGGAGCTCTGGTTGGTTGGTATTGCTGTTCTCCTCATGAGGCCACAAACCCTCTCAGCTCCAACAGTCTTCACTCTAACTCCTACATTGGGAACCCCATGATCAGTTCAATGGCTAGCTGTGAGCATCTGCCTCTGAATATGTCAGACTATTGCAGACCACTAAGGAGACATCTATATCAGGCTCTTATCAGCATGCACTTCCTGACTTCCACATCAGCATCTACCTTTGGTGACTGCACATGGGATGGATACCCAGGTGGAATGGTCTCCAGACTGCCCCTCCTTCAGTTTCTGTCCCTCACTTTGTCTCCACATTTGCTCCCTTGAGTATTTTGTTGCTCCTTCTAAGAAGGACCGAAGCATCCTGACTTGGTCCTCCTTCTTCATCAGCTTCATGTGGCCTATGAGTTGAATCTTGGGAATTTCAAGGTTCTGGGCTTGATTCCAATAATCAGTTTGTGAATATCATGTATGTTCTTTTGTGATTGGCTTACCTCACTCAGGATGATAATTTCTAGTTCCATCCATTTACCTAGGAATTTCTCAAATTCATTGTTTTTAATAGCTGAGTAATACTCCATTGTGTAAATGTACCACATTTTTTTGTATCCATTCCTCAGTTGAAGGACATCTGGGTTCTTTCCAGCTTCTGGCTATTATAAATAAGGCTGCTATGAACATAGTTGAGCATATGTCCTTGTTATGTGTTAGAGCATCTTCTGGGTATATGCCCAGGAGTGGTATAGCTGGATCCTTAGGTAATGCTATGTCCAATTTTCTGAGGAACCACCAGACTTATTTCTAAAGTGGTTGCACCATCTTGCAGTCTCACCAACAATGGAGGAGTGTTCCTCTTTCTCCCCACCCTCACCAACATCTACTATCACCTGAGTTTTTAATCTTAGCCATTGTGACTGGTGTGAGTTAGAATCTCAGGGTTGTTTTGATTTGCATTTCCCTGATGACTAAGGATACTGAACATTTCTTTAGGTGCTTCTGGGCCATTCGAGTTTCCTCAGTTGAAAATTCTTTGTTAAGCTCTATACCCCATTTTTTAATATGGTTATTTGGTTGTCTGGAGTCTAATTTCTTGAGTTCTTTGTGTATATTGTATATTAGCCCTCTATCAGATGTAGGATTGGTAAAGATCTTTTCCCAATTTATTGTTTGTTGTTTTGTCCTATTGACAGTGTCCTTTGCCTTACAGAAACTTTGCAATTTTATGAAGTCTCATTTGTCAATTCTTGATCTTAAAGCATATGCCATTGGAGTTCTGTTCAGGAACTTTTACCCTGTGCCCAAGTATTTGAGGCTCTTCCCCACCTTCTCTTCTACTAGTTTCAGTGTATCTGGTTTTATGTGGAAGTCCTTTATCCACTTAGACTTGAGCTTTATACAAGGAGATAAGAATGGATCAATTTGCATTCTTCTACATGCTATCTTCCAGTTGATGCTTCATATTCATTTCCTGAAGTTGACAAAGCCAGCCCCATAGCAAGGCAGAGAGAGTTTCCTACTACAATCAAGATACAGACCAGTTGAATAACAACTTTCTCTGTGTGTGGGGTGAGTACACATGTGAAGGTCAAAGGAAAATCTGTGAGTTGAATCTCTCTATACACTACCTGGATCCCAGGAATCTAGGTTATGTGGTCAGGATTGGTGGCAAGCACATTTACTGGTTCAACTATCATTCTGAATTTCAATGTTTTTTTTCCTAAGTTATTCATAAAACATCCCCTGAGACACTTGTCTTCCCTGACCACTGACATATCACCTACAAAGATGATCATAACTATTTGGCATCATAGTTAAATTAATCAAACCTGATCAGAAGACAATTTACAGGTATTTGGAGGGTATAGATGTTTCTGATAAACAGCAACCTGTCCTATTCTTTGACCCAGATCTCTTTCAGCTACATGACAACACTGAACTATCTTACTGAGGAAACTCCATTAGGAATTTTTCATGGAGAACCAGTAACTTCCTTTCAAAAAAATTGGTATCTATGGAGGCTGTTGTTTATGTATCACCCACTGAACACTGGGAAATATAACAGTCATATTGACTACTCAGGCCACAAGAACACAGAAGTGACACATGTTCATCATTCAGATGACCTTCAGTGTGCCTGACTGTATGATGAGCTGCCTTCCTTCTTTTTACCTCAGTTTCCTCACCTACCAAAGAGAAGGACTGATTGTATTCATAATGACTCTAGGGATTATAACTACTATTATAGTTTTATGTGCAGAAACTCCAGCACAAGTGCCCTGGCACTCATATGACCTAACACTGATGAACAGAACAGCAAGTCCCAGACAAGCTTGGGGTTTGACAAGTGCAGATATTAACTTTGCATGTCATTGTATTTTGAATCAAGCATAATTAAAATGTAGAGACAATTGCAAACAAGACTCAAACACTATCCTTTGATTTTTAAGTCAATGAGGAAGACAAAGAAACTAACAACCCAGACATCGGAAACCTAGGCTGATTCTGGAAATAGCATGATGGTTTGCACTTCTAAATTTACAGGAGCTATGATTACCCCCTACAAGACTTACACAAATTTTTTCCAACCAATACCCTTTCATACAGTGTGAGAAGCTTGACATGCCTCAAACCACCATGATGTTTATCCAGTTAATGGCTTCTGGATAAGAAGGCATATCTTTTGGTAGTGTAGTCACTAGTAAGGTGCTTAAAAACATGCAACTCTCTATTCACACTCTTGCAAACAATACTAATGGAACTCATTGGGTTATTAAAAACAAAGACAATAAACATAGAAAGGGAACTAGTTTGGAATAGGATGAATCAATGGGAGGGGAGAGAAGGGAAGAGAGAGAGTAAGAAAGTAATGGGGATGAATATGATTAAACTACATTATACACATGTGTGAAAATGTTATAATGAAATAACTGCATATAATTAGTACATGCGAATACAAAATCAAATACAAAATAAACAGAGAGAGTAAGAAAGTAATGGGGATGAATATTATTAAACTACATTATACACATGTGTGAAAATGTTATAATGAAATAACTGCATATAATTAGTACATGCAAATAAAAAATCAAATACAAAATAAACAAAATAACAAACAGTTGCAAACTTACAGGTCTTGGTGAGACAGTGATGACAGGCAGGGAAGAAAGAAGTATTACTATGGTAAGTCTAGACATGTTTCAGAGAATAAGAGACTGACTTCATAGCCCATTGACTAAAAATTCTAGGAGACTGCCATCTTCCCAGATAATAAAGAAATAGTTCATAGAAAATAGGAGAAGATAAT